GAGTGTAAACTGCAGAGTCCTGACCTGTAGATGAGTGTAAACTGCAGAGTTCTGACCTGATGATGTTGCTCGTCTGTGCTGGCTCATTCTGTAGAGCAGTGGCTGTTTTGTTTTTACCCGCTGTGTTGTAATCTGATCGGCACTAATTTTAATATCACCATATTTCCAAGCGTAATGACATGTTTTGAATAAAGATTGTTAAAAAAACTCTGCTCATTTTTATTCCCAACATTTCTCTGTATTTTCAGATGCAATCCAACACAAAAACCCAGGTTAAGAGATTAGAGGTCTCACCTTGTGATAAACTTTAACAAAGGTAAATATAGGAGTTGTCCCACTCCAAGACAACACTGGATCATCTAGAGGGATTTTCATGTTATTGTAATCTCACTGAACAGAAACAGACCATGTCCATTCTAGTATAGAAAACTACAGGATAAATGGAATAGGCTGATTTTTTAAACAAAGGGGGGAAATTTACCACAGACCTGTAATAATAGGTAAAATTGATTTATTCGTGTGTAAAACGATCTTGAATACAACACGCCTCTCAGTTGTTGARCTTAAAAAGGCATAAAAAATATAATCCTCATTTACATAGTGCAAATTTCTCCACTGTGGGATCAATAAAGTTTTATCTCATCTTATCTTATCTTGCTACCACTAATTTCAGAGACTTCAGGATTTTTCAGCCTTTGTGGTGCGCCCTCTGGTGGGGAAATATTATTTGGGGACACACTTGAGGATGAGAAGCATGAACTTCTGGTTCTCACTGAAAAAACAATGGACCAGAGCAGAAGCCAGTTGTTAAATTAGCAAGATGGATTTTGTAGAACACAAACATGCAACTAAAATTTGTTTAAAAAAAAAAACATTATTACTGCTTAAAAAACGTTATTTTCCCCAAATAGCCTTCCTAAAGATACTTGTAGGTTTTCCACCCACATAGTACTTTAGCAATAAGCAAGGTYTGTGGTAATGAGAGATGGAAAAATATAGAGGTTGCCATCTTTTCCATTTTGGACCAACAGGCCGGCTTGAATACTCTAAAAATAACCTAAAACCACTGGATGTTGAAAGGAGTTCAGTTGACTAGAACAAAACTTTCAGTGCTTTCTTTTGACACAAATGGGCTTAAGAAGGGAAAAAATAATCTCACCTGTTGTGAATTTGTGGTTTTGAGTGCTATTATCTGAATGTAGGCACAAACTATTTGAACATGCCATCAAGGACCCTGAATTGTCTAAATGCCACAGTGTTACACAAACAAACAAATAGTGGCTGGTACAAAGTTTGAGTTCCTGTTAAAGGCATTTTTTTAAGTATTTGGACAATTAACTCAGGCTATTTCATGGACAGATGTGGGCAGTTCCTTTGTTGTCCTTCTCAACAAAGCAGATTCTTCAGGTAGAAACTTCTGGCCTCTGCTCTGGCTTTCTGTGCATTTGAGGAGTAATTTTAAAATGTTTATTTTATCCTTTAGGGCACTCCATGGTCAGCCCGCCCCCATAACAAAATACATATTAGACCTTTTGAAGGCCCTCTGTCCATCCATGACTTTGAGATCTTCAAATCAAATGTTGGTATTCAAACACATTAGAAAACCCGTGGAAACAGAGCTTTTCAGGTGGTGGCTCCGAGGCCATGGTCTCCCTCTGTCCCTCCAGACTCCACTGACTCTTTTCAGAAACATTTAAAGACAGTTAGACAGGATTTTAGTTTTGTTTCCTGTCTTTTGAATTGCTCTCAACTACATTTGTACATTGTTTTTATTGTAAATCGAGAATCAATTAATAATTGATTATAACTGCTTAAACTGAGAATCAGTTCAAAAAAATAATGAATTTCACTGGTGTAGTATACAATAATATAAGTTCTACAACAATAAGTTATGTTTTTAAGACAAATTCAGTTTGATACTTGATAACTTTTGGTCACAATATCATTTGTGATGACATTTTAATTTATTTTAAAGTTATTCTGTTTCTAAGAAAATAGTTACAGTTTGATACCAGAACAAAAAGCTGTTAAAAATGTTTGGATATAAAATGGCTACAATTCATTTTGTTGAACTCCCCCACAAAAATAATAATTAGTAAACTTAAATTTGATAAACTGCATTGGGGTTTGAGTGAATCGTTACATCCCTATTTCTATTATTTTGATGTCTGTAAAGCACTTGGTGATGTTTGAGTCAGTGAAAGGTGCTATATAAATAAAATTTACTTATTAAAATACCACATTCAGACTCTTTTATAAAACAGGTTGGCAGTATGACGTTTCAGATCATACGCCAGTCGCTGCGTTTCCATTGACCATGAAAATGCACAAATTAGAATTTCAAGAATAAATTTGCTCAATGAAAACACGTCAGTTTGGAAAAAAATTATGTTTTTCAACAAAACGTTTTTGCACTAGGATGAGGTGGTTTTTCGGTCGTATTGAAATTGGTGTTTTTCGCAAAACTGCAATGGAAACA